AGTAGTGGAAGTGGTGGTAGCAGTGGTAGTGGTGGTCGTAGTGGTAGTAGTGGCAGTAGTAGTAGCAGTGGTAGGTAGCTGTTGTGGTGGTTGCTGTTCTTGTGGTCGGTGGTCGTTGTTGCTGAAGGAGCAGCAGTAGCATTGGCAGGAGCGGAAGCTGCGCAGCATTTTCAGCATCATGGCTCCTTAGTAGTAAAGACATCTCAAACCAAGTGGAGATTTGCACGTTCTGTGGGAGACAAAAATGCTGTGCAAGTTTCCATATATATATATATATATACACACCTTATCTCTTCGAGTACGACACTTACGATCCTGGAACCCTCAGAAGCCGATGGAAACGCGGCTTTTCTCAGAGCCGCAGTTGGCTTCCGGTAGTGTGCCACCAGATTTCCTTGAGCTCCTCCTCGCTGTATGCCGTACCGTTCCCATAGAAGACATCATGGAACCAGGGACCTTCCATACCCAGCTCCTCGGTAGCGATGGTTAGTTCTCTTATTTAGGGTCCCTTTTTAGGTCCCCAATATAGTACGGCACCCTTATAAAAAGGACCCCAAAAGGGGCCCTGATTTAGAAAACTACCCAGAGGCCCCGGTGCAGATTGCGGCCGAGGGCGCGATGTCTAACCACGTGTTCCAAGGCACATGCGTGTTGGCTCGGCCCTGGAAGAGGCCCCAGGTGTAGCCCCAGGCCCCCTGAGCTCGGGGAGTCGAGGGCTTCGGGGTAGTTGGAGGTGAAACCTATGTGACAATGTGGGAGTTTCCGAAAATAGTGGGTACCTTATTTCGCGGTTCTTATAATAAGGATCCTACCATTTGGGGTACCATATTCGGAATTCCGGTCCCCTATTATCGGAAACCCCCATGTTAGAGTTTAGTCGACGGAACCTTCAAGGCACAAGCTCACATTCATCAGATAACAAGGTCTGGAGTTCAGGGATGTTTCAGCGCTCGCAACTCGGACAATCAAGGCGAAGACATGTCAATCTGTCGATGTCTTAACTGAGTGAAACATAAACTCTGGCGCCTGCCGACGCAGCACTGGCAGGCTGTTGGTCAGCGTCGAGTTCCGAGGCCGTGCCATGAACTCCTCGCATCGAGAGCCGATCACATCTGAGGAATCCAAAATCGCCAGCCTTGGGCTCCAAGTTCTGGCGAGTAGCTGTCACCAGCACCGGCCCCCTCCCTTTCGCCGCAAGCTCCCTGATGTGCTGCTCCAGCTCATCAGGAGAGCAATAGCCTGATTTCTGAAGGACACAGCAGCTGTGAGGCGGCAGGGCTGCCAAGACCAACGCTTAGACAAGATGCAATGGATTGAGATGATGTCGCTCAGATCTACCATCTCGCTGTTGACTGTGGCCTGGATTACATGCCGAGCGAAGCGCGCCCACTCTCATGACCATTTCACCGTCCTTGTACTCTTTCACGTCCTCGTCATCTTCGCTGTTCGGGAAATCCCACACTGCCGTGGTGAGCGGCTGCACCGGGTTAACTTCTCTGGCCCATTCAAAGGCCTGCGATAAAGGACTCAAAAACTCGAGGTAAACTCCCTGCAAGCAACTAAAACCGGCCTGTCTGACCAAGGGCAGGATGGTGTTGAGCTTCGGTCCGTCCAAAAGCCAGTGTTCGGGGTATCTTCCAGCAGCCCATCCGTTGATAGCAGCCAGTCTTGGCAAGATCAAGTGTTCACTCTGTCGCATGGTGGGTTCATTGTAGATGTCCCAGATCGCCACACGAGGATCCGTTGCGAAGCGACCCACCACAGCAGTTACGTACTGATGCAAACGTTTCTTTGCCCATGCTTCTCCTCGGCCAAAGGCCCTGAGAACCGTGTGAGTCGGACACTGGACCGAAGCACTGTTGTGAACCCCGGGTATGTACAGGTCTTCTCCTGGCTCTCCGGAATCTGGTCGCCAGCAGGCGTCGAAAAGCACGAGCATGGTCGACATTCCTGAGAAAGCAACTTGCCGCTGGGGATTCCTGCGCCTAAATCATGTCCCAGGGTCCTTGTCTGCGGAACACATCAAGCAGCTTGGACATGTCGTCGAGGAAATCTGCCCCATCTCTGAAGAAGAGTTCTTCGTGCAGCAAGACACGCAAGGCCGAGAACCCTGCTGCTCCTGGCACTAAAGAATTGAGACTAAACACTTTTCGGAGCATGTCAAAGGAAACCAAAGTGCCAAGCTGATTCCAAGCGTCTTGCTATGCGGAGTTCGCGCTCGGCAGCAAGGAGCCTCACGAGAAGATGTTGTTTCCTCTGTCTGACTTTCTATTCTCAGAATACTCGCTTTCCGTGCTGTCGCGCCCTAATCAGCCACTTGGTCACTGGCGTGGTGTCGAACCATCGCGCATCAAACAGGTCGAATGTGTTGGCACAGTGCGCCGGGAGGTAGTTTGCCTCGGGTACTGAGGCAGCTGGTCTGTCAACACAGATGCTTCACTTTACCTGCAACATCAGCCCTGTCGGCTTCCGAAGAGCCATGCTTCTGATGCTCAAATTTTTGCAGAGGAGGAGCTGGAGTGCACACTGTTCTGTGTATCTTTCTATACGTACATAACATTCGCATACCTCTATCTGCCTATCTATCTATCTATCTATCTATCTGTCTGTCTGTCTGTCTGTCTGTCTGTCTGTCTGTCTGTTTGTCTCTATGCGTGGGTGCGCATGCGAATGTGTGCATGCATGCACGTATGTATGTAGGTACGCATGCATGAAGATGTGTATACCAGGGGCTAGGCACCACGACAGGCCATAAACCAATACACATGCATGTATGCACGAATGTGTGCGTGAGGGTACAATGCTTAGTATGTAAAACGTACTCACAAACACGCACGCGTAGATGAAGGCCTAGGCCTGGAATGGCCTGAAGACGCACTGCCCTAAACCCTAAACCCCTGAACCCCTAAACCCCTAAACCCCTGAACCCCTGAACCCTTGAACCCTTAAACCCCTTAACCCCTAAACCCTTGAACCCCTAAACCCTAAACCAATGAACCCTAAACTGATTGACATCTGGAGCGCTCCTAGGCGCCAGCTTTCTCCGCGCCCCCAGGCTCGGCTGCGCTCCGGACTCCAGCGCCCGGCACAGAGACTTACCAGATGCAGCGACAGGAACCAGCGCATCGGGCTTTGTGGATGTCAAGTTAGTCTACAATCTAGTATATTGTGCTAGAATATGCTGTAGTATACCACAATATACTAGACTAGGTTCCAGTCTAGAATCGATGTTGCCCCTATGTCAAGGTATGGAGGCTGCCGGAAGCTTGGCCAGCCTGTACAAGCTTTGCTGTGGCCTGCGGCCACAGTAGCCAGACCTAACATTTAGGCTCTGGTATATGGGTTTAGGGTTTAGGATTTTGACAAGGAAAAATGATATATGATATATGGTTTTTTCCCACCCGCCCAGCTGATATGGGTTTAGGGTTTAAGGTTTACGGTTCCTTGCATCCTATGCTCGGGGACCATTGCCACGCCTCTTCCTTGTAGCTTTTAGGGTTTAGGCTTTTCGAGTTCTCTCGCGTTATTGTCGCTGAGGCCTTTAGATTCCTTTAAATCTCATCGCTGGGTTGCCCTGCAAGTCCACCGCATACACAAAAGCTGCAAGTGTCAAGCTCGTGATAGCTCGTGTCAAGGTGTGTCCGTCCTTGCCCGGAAGCTGCGGTGAAAATTGCGGAGCTAAGTAGCTACCTCACTGCGAAGGAATGATCTCTGAGCTGCTTGCGGCGTGGCCGCTTCCGCCTGAGTGCTGCGGATGCTTCTGAGGGTTCCCTTCCTTTGCTTCCAGCTTTGCTGCCGTTTGCAGAACCACATAGAATTACACTGTAGAGGGACCAGGGATGTGCAGAAGCAAGCTTTTATGCAGACAGGCCTGGCCTGCCATGCTTCACCCTCTTCTCGCGCGAACCTGCCGAACACTGCAGACTTGACGACACCGGGCTGTCACGCCATAAAGCTCTCACAACAAAGCATGCGAGATCATGCAAGCATGCAGGTGGCTCTACCTGCATGGTCCACCCCACGTCATCTCGTGGCATGGACGATCGAACTTGCCGAGCACAAATGGCTCCAACATGTCTGTCTGCAGTTGAGACGCTGCTGCTGTGGCGCTTGCGCCGCTCCTTTGTCTTTACGCGTCCTGAAAGGCTGAAAGTGTTTCGGCTCGCATCAGTGCACACTCCTTGTGTCCGCATCAAGCACATCTGCAGAAAGTACTCAAATCGGCATGCCTCCCTTTCTGCTGCGGCTGCGCTTGTCGCTGCCCGCACCCATGCCATGGAGCACTTTTCTCACCCTGGTTCTAAAGGAATCAGCGATGTAGTTGCCTGTTACGTGCCGATCCGAGCAGCGTAGGAGCATCCAACAGGACATGATCAGGTCTAGAAGGGGGAAGCTCATGTAGCTTGCTCAGGCTTGTTCATGTTGGAAGTTGAACCTGTGCTACTTTCACGGCAGCGACAGCATTGAAGCTGAGCGCGGCCAGCAGGCAGGTCCGCGAGCAATCCGAAGCCCTTCATGATCCTACTTCGCATCTGCCGGCTGTAACAGCATCTTCTCACTTATTGATCGCCACATGGAGCTTTTGTCTAGTGTCTCGAAGCGATCTGGCACCGGCCCTGTGGCCGGGATAGCCTGGCAGTTTTCCGGACCTCCAGACCAGAGAAACCACCGACAGCTCTGGCAAAGGCCAGGTAGGAGTCACGAATCACACTACCCAGAGCCATCGCAGTCTACCGGCAGCTGCGGCCGGCCAGACTACCAGCTCGTCGAGTACGACTCCGACCAAGGTACTTAAAGCAATCTGTGGGGCATTGCTGCACCCGAACTTGCAAAATTTTCTTTGTGAGGTTCAGGCTTGGACTGTGGGACTTCGGTGAGGCATTTGGGAGACAAACTTGACACGGCAGAGCAAGTGCAAGGCCGGTGAAACGTTGGAAAATCAATTCTTCCACTCAGCGTAGCCTGCGAGCTCAGGCAACAAAGTGTGTGCGTGTGTACACAGGAGGGAGAAACAGAGACAGAAACAGAGAGCGTGAGAGCGAATCATGCGAGAAGCCCCTCGCTGCAAGCGGCAGAAGCTCTGCGAGCACCATCGAGGCTCTCGCCTCTCGTCTAAGGTGTGGGAAGAGGACTTGCAGGCTAATGAGCTAATGGCCTCAGAAGAGCTTCGGCTCGTCCAAGGAGGCCCAGCGACCTGGCCCATCTGCAGTGTTCCGGTGCCAAGTGCTTCCAAGCGCAAGCATTCGCGAGCACAGAGACGCTACTGTTGTAGGTACTGTAGGCGCAGGCCACCGAAAAAACAGCACTGCCCCTGGGCCGACTTGGCAGTGACTTAGCAGCCCAAGCCCTTGCAAATGGACAAGCCAGTACCACGCACTCGGCCACGTGGACCCGCTTCCAGGTCCGCCTCGGACCACTTGGAGACTTGAGTTGTGACGGCACATGGTTTAAAACTGGCACCTTCCAGTCTAATCTGAAAATAAGATGCTTTAACTCTCCAGGAGCCCTCTCATCAGTCACCAACCCTAAACCCTAAAACCCGAGGGAGACGACGACCATGGAAACCTGCGCCTCAAGAAGCTCATGCCTTCCGGCCTTGTGCTCTTGATGCTCCATTTCTGCCTTGACCGCCTCCGCCTCGCACGATCCAAAAGGGCTTAGGGTTTCGGGTATGAGGGTATTCGGGTATTAGGGTATTAGGGTGTTAGGAGATTAGGGTGTTAGGGTATTAGGGTGTTAGGGTATTAGGGTTTAGGGCAGTAGGGTTTAGGGTATTAGGGTTTAGGGTATTGGGGTTTAGACTCTCGCAACTCGGGCAATACAGGCGAGGATGGTCCCACATGCCGCGATCAAGAATTGTACGTCTAGTAATCGAATTTAGTGTGAGAGTTATGACTTATGGCAGATATCATGGTCGCACCCATATTCGCGATACTGACTAGTAATATGAAGACTGCTCGCAAACCAGGCGCAATCCCTATGATTAACTTGCATGCTCGATACTCACCGCCGCCACAACAACAGCAACAACATTAACCAAACAAACAAGCAACAGCAACAGCAACAGCAACAGCAACAGCAACAGCAACAGCCACAGCGACAGCGACAGCGACAGTGACAGCGACAGCAACAGCAATAGCAACAACATCAACATCACCAACAACAACAGCGACAACAACGACGACACCGGCAGCGACAGCAACAGCAACAGCACCGGCATCAGCAACCACAACAACCACCACCACCACCACCCCGACGACGACGACGACCACAACAACAACAACAGTAAGCATGTAACACTGACAACCGCAAGAGCACAGCGGTAATGCGAAAACAGTCAGTACATTAACAGTAGCAGCAATAACCGTAACAGCACTGCTAGCAAGAACAATGGCCCCGAAAAGAAGCACCAGCAAAAACAGGCAAACAGAACTCAGAAACATAAAGCGGCAGATACATGTACTACTAATGCAACCACATCAGCCCTCAATACGCACGATAGAAGATAATGAATACTATTGTTATTACCAAGTTCTGTATTCATTTTATGTTTACTAGGTATGATCGGCGTCCTCCAGTGGAGCGATTCCCAGCTCCAAGGCCAGTTCAACGAACTCCTTTCCACAGGCTTTCAGCATAGCTTGAGGCTCTTTGGCTCGGCATTGCCAGTGTCAGTTCGGAGTCTCCCACTTCCACTTCAGGGTCTTACGGCTTTGACGACTCGCCGAGTCTTATATCTGCTAAGCTCGGGAAAGGCGTGTATCGGAGTTTTAGAGTCTTAGAGCCTAGTGGAACCACATCACGTACCAATGCGAGTAGGTCAGAGGACTTCAAAGACTACATTACATCTACCCGAGCGATTCGAAATCACTCATCTCGACATCCACAGCAACATGAGCTTCACATGACACGTGCAACAGCTTCAAAGCGGATACAGGTACTGTAAATACGGAAATTTGGACTTTCACACTCGGGCATCACCAAGAAGGCTGTGCCGGCTTTTTACCTTAAACCCTAAACCCTAAACCGACGATATCGGAGTTTGAGGCCTCGTAGTTTCGGGCCATTGGTGTTTTGACGGGGCTCGGAGGATTGTTCTAGGCATGCAAAGGGTTCTGGATGCTTTCGACAGCTCATGTCGGTTCATTAGGGTTTTTGAAGCAGGGGCACATGGGGAAGCAGGGAAGTCCGGTCCTCGAAGTCAATTTTGCCGCTAGAGTCCGTGTCGAAGCCTCAATCTCGGGAATGGCGGCTTTCGACTCCAGAGTCGGGAGTCTACATGATATACCATATATTACATCATATATAATACATCTTGTATATCTTATATATCATGCAGCCTAAAGGCCTAAATTATCAGATCGACGGTCGGTACAACTTTTGAAATGGAACAGGAGGTTTGCCGGTGCCTGCCGCTTGCTTTATTTGTTCCTGACTGAATAGCCGTTCAGCCTTCTTCCTGTTCTTTGGTGCTTCTTTTTCTTGGTTTCAGCGGCTACCGGCCGGGCCGGCACTTGGGGGCACTAGGTCACTAGTAGGGACAAGAAGACTGGGTTTGGAAACACCTGGCTCCAAGGCAAACAGAAATGCCGGTCAATAAGACCCAGGCATAGCAAATCGAAAAGCATCTCCAGAACTCTTGTTTCTCAAACACACCGAACCGCAATGCTGTTTACTAGCGCGCTCAAGTCCTAACCCACGCCCGAAACAACTGAACACAAACTCTTAAATCATCGCTGCAGTGGACTTAATCCCTCAATCCGCAACGGTGCTCCTGATGTGCGTGGCCATCAAAGACGAGCTGCGGTTGAACATATCTTGCATGGCCTTCTCGTCGACCTTGTAGTTCCGTCTATACCTCACAAGCACGCACTCTTATTGAAACACATCGTGTCACACACGCACGTTTATTTGTCGTCATGTGTATGTATATCTATGAATAAATTAATACCGGCGAACGCATACATGCAGCAAGGATGTAAGTATGTATGCATGTGCGCATGTGCAATCGCACATACGCATCTGCATGCCTAAGTACAAACAGCTGCAAATATACATGCACACATGCATTCATACATGGAAGCAAACCTACATGCATACATACATACATACATACATACATACATACATACATACATACATACATACATACATACATACACACATATATAATATGCATACATTTTTCGGCACTCGCGCTCAACGAGGTACATACATTACATTTTTAGCACCCGCACTCGACGAGGTCAGGCGAGGTTTTAGGGCAGCAAAAAGGAAATCATCCGAGGCTCGTCACGAGCCAGGCAACTCCTTTCGAGCTAGAGGCTCCATTTTTGTACGAAACCAAAATCAGTTCACAAAATCTCCGATATTCTCTTGCAGACCTCATGTCTTCGCTTCAAAGACACAGCATCAGCACAGCTGGTGACCCAACGGTCACACAGAGTTTCAGGCTTCCATTCCAATCCAACAAGCACGGTCCCACAGACATCAGGGCTTCAAACAAAGTTGCAAGCAGTCCAGGCAGAGCGCACCCACAGCCCTCGCAGGAGCAGTCAAAAGATTCACGAAAAATCATCGTAAACTCATGCCGAGCACCACTATATTCTCTGTATGCCAAGTGGACAGCAAAAATTGCAAAAATCCGATCATGCCATTCCAACGCACTACAGGGTTGCAGACACAGCGTCTCATAAATTCTTGGGGTTTGTCTCGATCCAGTGCAGCACCCAAGCCCTTCAATGCTCCAAGGACAGGTCCAGCATCCCAGAACCATCTGGAGAACGGTTCGTGCATGGCCATTCCAGGTTCACAGGCTCCAGGCATGGAGGCAGACATGACGATGTCGGCTGCCAGACACAGACCCTGCCAAAAGCATCTTGAGACAGCAGGGCTTCGCACAGAGTTGAGGCCAGTCCAGACCATGGTGCTGGCAGTAGAGATAGCCCGACGCAGGAGCAGCCAGAAAAACTATGTGACTCATGTAGAGAATGTAGAGCATGTCTGTTCTCTGTATGCCAGGCGGGCAGCAAAGATTGCAAAGCTCCTCGCCATGACATCCCCACGTCTTGAAGGGCTGCGCACGTCGCCCCAGACACTTCAATACTCCATGGCCAGATCCAGGATCCTAGAACCGTCGCAGTCGGCTTGAGAATTGGCTTTAGCGCCACAGTAGCCAGCAGTCGCGGGAGTGCAGCTAGGCACGACATACCCCGAAGTCGGCATGTAGACAGCTGTCACAGCAACATTGCATCAGTGTCCAGGGGTGGCGGCTCAGCGCAGCGCCTGTTCATGAGTCCTTTCGCCTCTGGCCCCTACGACTGCGTCCTGGGGGCATTGCCGCCAGGGCTTGGATGACAGGGGCCACAGGAAATGCGGCTGAAAGTGCGTGCTGTTGTCGGCTTGTTCCATGCATGCGTGATTTGCGAAAATGCGTGTCAGCCGACAAAGCTACATGAATGAGTGATAATGAGTGTCAGTGCAAGCGTGCATGTAACGAGCTCGAAAACACCATCATGATGACATAAAAAGAAAAGAAGTCACATGGAGCCAGTCTTGCACAGCAGCGCATGCAGGCACAGAAGACGACAGCTGAGCCACGGCAGCGTTCCGTCCCCACTGCCGCGCATCCACATCTTCTCAGCATCCGCCACGGGACGAGACAAGTCGGCCTCCTCCTCGCTCGCCTCGTGACCCAAGCACGAAGAAGAGCAGGCTCCTCACGCATGCGAGCTGGCCAGCGCTGCAGTGCATGCTCACGGCTCTCAACCTCCATTTTCGAGATGAGCTCCGCGACCACTCGGCACCAGACTCAGGAGAGTGGCCAGAAAGTTAACCACCTTGCTCGACAACTGACGAACCTGTCGTCGCACCACAGGACGGAGCTCTTCTTCGCCAGGGTTTGCACGAAGGTGAAGAAAATGACGGCGAAGCCGCAGCTGAACCGTCACCAAAGACTCAGCACCACGAGCGGCTTCTGAGCACTGCCTGCCTGCCACCGGCCACCAGGAATAGGACCGCGCCCAGCCAGCACGCCTCCCAGCATCACGTCCAGACGTGGCCTTGTCACACAGCACCTCTGCGGAGTCGGACAGGGGCGTCCATGCCTCATCCACCTGGCCATCGCGAAGCCATCGACCCAAAGAAACAGCCGCAGCGCCTAGAGCTTGACCACGGCCGCCCGGAGGCTCAGCGAGATTTCACTGTGTAGCCCACCAAAGCGTGGTCGGAAAAAGTCCAGGCAGCGACAATCTTAAAGTTGGGAGAAGTCGCCTCGTGATGCAGGTGCCTGATCTTTGAGCCGTAGCCACATACATACACACATACCCACTTGCATAGGTGCATGCGTTCGTACATCCGTCATGCGTGCATACACACATCCGTACGTGCTTGCTTGCTTGCTTACTTACATACATACTTACCTTCTTACTTGCACTCGATTCCTGCATGCATCCATCCACCCATGCAAGCATTCATCCTTACAAACACACATACATTTCATGCTGCAATTCGCCCCGTGAAACATCCCTAAACAAATTCCCATAAGTTGCAGCTCGGGGACTTCCTCGACACCTTCTGCGGCTCCTCAGTACATCTTAGCCGTGCGTTTGGATGCTCAAGGAATCTCAGGACTTCTTGGCCGCAGGATACCGAAGGTAGCAGACTGCACAGTCCATGCACGTAGACAATAACCGCGTCTATGATCTTGGCTCAAAGCACTGAGCGTCCGGCCGCTGCAGCTTCCGCTTTTGGGCCAAGCTCTGTCCTCTAAATCTCCAAGCCAGATATGCGAGCACAGGTCGTTGCCCGTATATCTATATATATATATATAATATATACACATACGTGCATGCATTTATACATGTGTACATACATATATATATATATACATATATATATATATATATACATATATATATATACATATATATATATATGTTAACTTAATTATCTAATTATCTATGTGTTTATTTCGTGTATGTATACGTATATGTAGAGGCATTCAGGTCACAACATTCATCCATTTAAACAAACGAATAGATGCGTATGTGTATAAACTAGATGTAGGTGAAATTCTCCTACACTTCTACGACTACTGTCACCACTTCCACCACTATTACCATTACTACTACTACTACTACTACTACTACCACTACTATTACAACTATACTCCTGCTGCTACTACTACTACCACTGCTGCATACCCCTCGCAACACCTCCAACACCACTGCTTCCAGCTTATACTTCTCCAGAGCCACAACTTCTGGGATGCTTGGCAGGCTGGAGCTGAGCACAGCGCCCGTCAGCCGACACTAGCCGCCTCATCGACAGCGCAGGGTGTCTGAGTCATTCGGACATGTTCTCCGAGTTGGAGTGACGGGGCAAGTGTTGTCCTTGCGATTTGGATGGCTTCGCCACTGGCACAAACTGGACCAGCGAGGTCGAGGCCGGCTTGGTGCTGCTTGAGTTGTTTATGCTGTCCCCCACATCAGATCAACTGCGCCGGAGATGAATTTCAGAAGAGCCGGACTTGGAAGCTCGGCCTGGACAGGTCTTCGGCCACCTGAGCACAAACCCCAACAGGATTTCTGAAAGCCCCCACGGCAGAGGGTCTGAAATTGCAATCTGGAGCTGGTGCACGAAAAGAAGCAGCACTACGAACAGACACGAGCTCATACTCCTTACACCATCAAGCAAGCACTCCTTACCCTACTACCTTACCTGTGGTCCCGGCAGAATCCACAAACTTCTCTGTGGTCAATCCAGAGGGGCCCACCATGTCCCGGGTTCCTGGCAGCTCGGAGAAGCCATGATTATAGTTACTGTTATTACTATAGTTATTACTATACTTATTACTATCATTATAGCTATTATTATAGTTATTATTATAGTTATAAGTTATTATTATACGTATTATTCTAGTTATTGTGATAATTACTAATTATTGCTATTAATACATGCCCTGTAATAAAGTTTCGTCGCATCCGC